TCTTTAACCCCTTGGGGACGGGTGATTCAGAAAAGCATTCGTACAAAATCAGAATCAAGTTGTAATTAAATAAAAAACGGTAACTTAAATGCAATCGTTGCTAATTTGACTGACTTACTTTGCTTTTACTTTAATTATTGTTAGCTTAAATATATGTATAATCAATGTTAATTCAAAGTATAACTAAATAGTTTTATTTTGAACAAAGTATTGGTGAATTAGATAAATCAAAGAATTATAACTCCGCCCACAAATAAACTGTTAAAGAAATACTTTGATTACCAGTTTTATATTTTTACCCTAGTTGATACGATTTTATACTGTCACGTATTTGTGACAGTCGGCGCGAAAGGGTTAAATCTTGAACTAACATTTATTATATCTATGATTAAACTGACAGTACTTAAGAAGGTAAAGGGAAAGTAAGTCTGTCAAATTAACAATGCCTACATTTAAGTTACCGCCTTTTTATTTATTTACATCCTGATTCTGAATTTGTACGAATGCTTTTATGAATCACCCGTCCACAAGGGTTAATGATTCAGCATACATGTAATCTGTACTACAATAGCTCGTCGTAATTTTTTTTAAATTGAAGCGGTAGATATAGAGACAAGTTTGCCCTAGCTTTTATGAAATATATATATATATATATATTGAGAAAAAACTGCCTTGTGTAAAAAAAAAGTATTACAAAATGCTCATGAGGGTAGGTGTGGAAACAGTGGGTGGCAAAATGGTCTGCCGCCTATTGGTACATAGAGACAAAAATTAGTATCAGAAACCACATTTATCTTTCAATGAAATAAAAAAAAATTGTGTCCTTTTGTTAGCTTACTTGTTATTGATGGTTTTAATATTTTTATAATAAGCCCACTTTTATTAAAATGCCTTATTTTCTTTCTATAGTCCCCTTTGACCCAATGATGAATGAGGGGTTATACGACGGAGACTTGGCAGGTGTTGAACTTGACGAAGTAAGTTTCATTCTATTATATACTATTTGTAAATTTTCCCACTTTTCTCTTCTTCGTATCTTTTTTCTCACTGCAGTACGCTTCCATAAGAAATGGGAGTGTAATGGCTTTTTCCTCACGCCATTTCACTCCCATTTCTTATTGAAACGTACTGTAGTGAGAAGAAAGCAAGACTTTCAGCAACCATGGTAACGGAGAGGGGGGAAAGTGGAGAAAGGGGAAAGAGAAGAGGGTTAAAAAAAATGATAGCGTGAAATCTCGTAACTTAAAAATGAAATCTTGTTAAAATCACGTCATCTCGATGTACATTAGGGGTATCAAGTTAATATTTAAGTATAGAGAAACAAAAATGTTTCGAGATATAACAAAAAAAATCTGCCTGATTATCAAACGAAAGTTTTGAAAAAGAAAATTAAATGTTGATTATTCGTGACGTATTAAAAATTCATCAGGTAATCAAACTATTTTTGTTTTCCATCCTATTTTCTTAATTTGTGATTCACCAGATATAGTGTTTGTTCGTGATATCACGTTGGTGATTAATTTGGAATCAATGTACATACTTCTTTTGCAAAGGTTGTAAAAATATATATTAAAAGTAGTGATTGTGGTTCATCTTGAAAAAGAATATTCCTTTCACAAAGTAAAATGAAGAGCAAAAAACTAAGCACTTAAAGTATTATTTTAATTGTTCATAATAATTCTCGAACATTTCTTATTTTCAATTTGTTTTTTTATTGCTTATTAAAGAAAAATTCGTTTGTGTCGTATTTATTTTTCCATGTTCAATTTCATACATATTAATATTGAAGAAATGATTTTAAATGCTTAAATTTATTTTATTTTCGTGTGTTTTTTTTTTTTATTATTAGAATCGAAATGCTATACCAAGAGACTCTCAGAAATGGCCTGGTGGTGTAGTGCCGTACATCATTTCTCCTGAATTGTGTAAGAAAGGATAAAATAATACATTTGAAATAAGTGAAAAAGCTTTCACGTTTAGTGTTAAGGAATTTTTATCTATAAAATACCCGGGTCCTTCTGACTATTTTAAAAGGTTCGAATTCCGGTTTCCATTACTAGCATATAGTAAATACGCCAACTCTACTCTACATATAGTAACTAATGTCGTTATAGTAAACAGATTATTACTGATTGTCCAATAGCGGCAGATTGTTGCTGTTTTCTTTTCATAAAACACAATTATTTATTTTATTTTAAACCATCGGTGAGCAGCTGACCCAATTCTGGGTGTACAACTACTAATGTTTAACTCCGTAGCCTTACAATGCAATTTTGACCCTAATCCATAAGACAAGGGAACTCCGGGACCAAGTATTATGAGTTAGCAGAGGCATGGGAAAAAATAAAGAAAAATAATAGTGAAGGAAATTCTTTTTTTTATATATATCTAAATATATATTTTTATTTATTTATTATTCTTTTATTTACATTAAAGTTTCCGATTAATGGAAAAGGAATGAAAAAGAATACGTAATTGGGTGCCCGCTGGAGAGCTGGAAATTTATTGCCTCTGAAGCATCGTTGCGTTGAAGCAGCCCTAGCGATTGTAATTTTTCAACTTTAGATAACATTTTTTTAAAAATTAATTTGACACCCCTAATAGGTATAATTTCCTGGAATATTTTTAAATTGTATATGTAAAGGGTGATATAAACTGTAAAATGCCCTGTATAATAATTTATTTGAAAACATATGGAATTTAAAAACATAAAACAAATGATAAATAATAAAACAAAACTGTAAGTGTTAGATTTCAGTTTATTTTGAAAGTTGTAGCAAACGTAAGTTATTTTGCGAACAATGATTGTTTTATTTTTTATATTTTAGCGTTTTTTACTTCAGAAATTAAGAGGGCAATGCAGTATATTCAGATGTATACCTGCGTTCGTTTTGTTGAGAGGACGAACCAACAGGATTACGTAAAACTTTTCAAAGGCAATGGGTAAGACTATCATTTCATTTGTTTCAAAGTTCAAAATATTGGCATCGAAACATTAATTCTAAAAAATAAAACACGCATAAAAATTATCTAATAAAATTCATCGAAATTAATTAGAATGAAGTAATTAAAAAATTATCTAAAAATTTATCGATTCTAAGAAATTACCCAGAAAACTAAGGAATCAACAACAATAATACCATGCAACAAAATTTAATAGTCGCAACATACCTAATTAGTTTTATTACACAATAATTCATGTAGTTTTATTTGGGTTTGGGAAAAAAAATACCTGTATCATTTTAAGACGTGAAAGTAAACTTTGAAGAAGTACATGAAAAAATTTATGCAACATTTAGAATTACACGAAAATTCAAGAAACAGTACATTAATTGCACATGAATAAATCTTCTTGAGTTTGTCTTGAGTATGTATATATATATGGGTCATTCTCACAAAAACAGTCATTTTCATGTCCCCAGTATATTTTATGTTTGTTTTACAACTTACGAAAAAAAAAATTTCAGGGAAAGTGTCCTTCAGATTGCTGGCTAACAAAAGAATAAAAATAAAATTATAAATTTTCATTTTTTATTTATTTTAGGTAATTAAAATATACCAATATGTCATTCCCTCACTTGTCCCCACTGCTGATTTATAAAAAGAAAAAAATTGTTTCTGAAATAATTTTTTTTTTTTTACAAATTCGTATTTTTTATTTCAGAATATTGAAATATGGAATTCAGAAAATCAATTTTAAATTTAATTTCTGATAAAATTATTAACACAGCACTATTTTAAACTTTGTCCCCAGTGCTTCGCATCATTCCCTCACAACAATGTTCTTATCTCCAGCAATCTTCTTAGAATAAAAAAAATTTTAATAAAAACTTTAGCATTTAACAACTGGCATCATTGAACAAAATTGCAGTATGTTTCCATCTTCAACTTAAAGAAGCTTTGCTGTGGAATAAATTTGAATGAATCAAACCAGGTAAAATTTTTTACATTTGTCATTCCCTCATGTCATTTTTTAGAGTAAAATAAAATACAACTTCATCGAGAAAGTGGATAATTATATGTTGCTTTCTTGTATGAATATAATTGTATGTGATTGACTTCAGAAATTAATTAGGCCTAACTGTTATTTTTAAATTTTATTGAATTCGTCATTCCCTCACTAGTGTATAAAGTGAGGGAATGACGCTGAAGTGAGGGAATGATTCAAGATGAGTATATTATTAAATTTTTTTTTGTTCAATCGTGCCAGCCAATTTTATTTCCCAAACCTGTAAAAACTATTAAATATATAAGACTAAATTATAATAAATATTAGATATACTTAGTATGTTATCATTTTCAAACTTTAGGTAGATGTAACTTAGATAAAAACATGTATTAAAATAAAATATCATTCCCTCACTATTAGTGTCATTCCCTCACTTTTTAAATAGTGAAAATAATTAATTTACTTATTAATTAATTTGAAAAATAAATTAAAAAATTAATAAATTAATTTATTAAATTAATTAATTTATTTATTAAATTAATTAATTAATAATTAATTATTATAAATTAATTAATTATAAATTAATTATTTAAAAAACTAATTAATTTAAATATTAAGTATAATTTATAGAATATATTCTTTCTTTATAATGCCATTACATATTTCTATTAATATAAAAAGTTTCAGAGCTTTTTATTCACTTTACTTTTTTGGTATTTTATGAACGCAAAAATGACAGTTTTCGTGAGAATGACCCATATATATATTTACTCAAAACTTTTTAAAAGTATATATAACTTATTTGCTGGTAGGTAGGACGTCGGGCTAGTATTCATAAATTCGAATGTTCGTGAAAGCGTAAGTTCGAATCCCGCATTCGGCCAAAGAAAGCAGTGTATTAAATGGTGGCTGGTGCACATTAAATCTTCAGCACGTAAATCTATGCATTATGTTATATAAATGTTCTGTTTCTAAATAACAAAATTTCATCTTGTAAATTAGAAAGTATATAAGATGAAATACTATTTTCTTAGACCGGTATAGCCTGATTGGTATGACACTGGGCTTATGTTCGTGAAATCAAGAGTTCGAATCCAGCTGGCCGAAGAATTCCCGTATTGTAAATGGTGACTGGTACACGTTAAATCTGTCGGAGCCACAAAGTCCTCCATGCTCCCATAACAAAGCAAGGGGGTACTGAATGGGAGATTTCTCTTCTCAGGTTCAGGTCAAAATTATGAACTGTGATGGAAGGAATGGAGTATGAATGGGTCTTCCATGAAAAACGAGCTGTGACGTATGTGTGTGACTGAATTCGTATTCTTTGGCATAGATGTTGCCACTGAAAAACACCCTTTGACTTAAATATTTGTTTGGATTGGCATAACAAGCTTGCTGATATTGGTAATTGGCATTAGTAACAACAATAGCACTGTTTAACTATTTTAAAATCGTTAATGGTTTAAACGGTAATAAGGGTAAATGTGTTTATCATAAAATGCTTCGTAATACGAATTACCTCAAAGTATGAATTACTTTTTAACGAAAACCTTGCTTTTAGCATTAAGTTTTTAGCCATGTGTAATAATAAAAATTAGAAATCGAAATTATTACATGAAATACTAATAAAAGATTTTTAAAAAAAATATTCCATGTGTAAAAAATACCATGTACCTATAAATCAAAAATAAAGAAAAATTTTGTAAGTAAACAAATCTTTTCACTTTTATAAATTTTATGCTTATAAAAACCAAGGAAATGAAATCTTCTGATGAAAAAAAAATCATACCATGTAATTTTCAGGCTAATAATAATACTTCGACAACAATCGAAAGCGATTTTGTACCACTCTTCAAATGAGAAAACTATCATACACTGAAGAGCCAAAAAAACTGGTACAGGCATGAGTATGCAAATAAAGGTGTATGGGGCCAATCAAAGTACAGCCCTGCAATCGGCAACGCGTATATAAGACAACGAGTGTCTAGCACAGTTCTTAGATCGGTTACTGCTGCTACAATGCCAGGTTATACAGATTTAAATGAGTTTGCACGTGGTGTTATAGTCGGCGCACAGGAGATGGGACATAGCAACTCCGAGATAGCAATGAAATTTGGATTTTCACGTACAACCATTTCACGAATATACCGTGAATATCGGAAATCCGGTAAAACATCAAATCTACGACATCTCTGGGGGTCGAAAAAACATCATGCAAGAACGAGATCAACGACGATTGAGGAGAATCATTAAACGTGACAGACCCTTCCACAAATTGCAGCAGATTTCAATGCTGGGCCATCAACAAATGTCCGCTTGCGAACCATTCAACGAAACATCATCGATATGGGCTTTCCATACGGGCTTCCCTACACGATATTAGGCAGGTGTACCAGTTTTTTTGGCTCTTCAGTGTACTATCTGATTTTCTGGTCAATAAGAATGCTTCGACAACAATGGTAAACGATTTTGTACCATTACGTTTTCACGTTATATCGCCAGAACTAATATGTACTTTTTATATTCTAATAATGAAGAACATCATCGTCCTCCTTAAGGGGTTTAATTTAGGTTTCGTTGTTTTAGTTTTGTTCTTTTCATTTCATTGTCTTTTTAATTACAAAACAAAGAAATTGGAGCGTGATTTCTAATAATAATGATATCATATTAGATGCTGGTCTCATTGGGGAAGAACAGGGAGAGAACAATCATTGTCATTGGGAGATGGTTGCCATTGGTTCGGTACGACAACACACGAACTCCTGCACGCTGTTGGCTTTGAACATGAACACAACAGATCAGACAGGGATGATTACTTGAACATCCATTGGGAAAACATTGAAGAAAGTAAGTATTAATCTTCCATACTTATATGAGTTGTTGCGTTTTATTAAGAGAATCGTGAGAAGAAATTAATGTAACTTCAAATTTTTTTAAATTTTTTCTTTCTTTTTGGAATGTAGTTAATTTTGTCTAAGATGTGCAGCAAATGGAAGTAGAAATATATATTTTTTTTCAAAGTAACGGCAGAGATATAAGACTTAGCAAAGACTCAGAAATTTAAAAACAATCTTGCTTTTATCAACTAAGAATACAATACAAACTTAGTCAAAGCATTCACAAACGCCAAAGATTCACTGTTTGTGAATTTCGTTAGCGTTGTCTGACATTCGAAAAACTTAGATTATTGCCTATTTTATTAAAGGCATTGCAAATAGAGCTAGGAATTTATAGGACATAAGAAAGCTGAAAAATATTCAAAGTATTTTACTTATATATAATACCTGACCGAGTTTATTTATTCTAGGTTAATATAATAAGGACAGATATGGTTCCATAAGGTCATATATATCTGCAGTATATGAGCAGCAGTTTTTCTTTATTTTTAATTTTATTACACATAGACATGCAGTATATACATACGTTCTACTGTGCCACATTATAAGCTCCCTAATTTGTCTATAATAATTTCGTTTGATATGGTTATATATTACCCTATAATGTAACACCTGAGGAATATTATAGGTTAATATTAAGGGGAGATATGGGGATATTTATATGCACGGTATATGAGCAAACGTTTTTTTTAACGCTATTATACGTACTTTAAAATATATAACTATACATACTTAAATATTGTGCAGCATAGTAGGCCCCCTAATTCTCTTCTAGAAATATTCGGTTTTAGAAAATCACGGTTCGTCACAAATTTGTCTCAAATTTAAGAAAAAAGGCATAATTTAATAAGCTTATATTCACAGCAATAGTATGATAGTGAAAATTAATAAAAAGTAATTTGTTATTTATAAGAATATTGATAGCATATTTTCAGTTTTTTAAGTATCATACAAACCCTAAAAAATAACTTTCTACATAAATAAAACTGTTCTTGTTTTGGTAGCCAAAAGCACAGTTAACAAATGTGAATTTAAAAAATAACGTTATCATATCAATTTTTGGAACATAATTCTTTGCTTCGAATTCAAAATATTAATGCTCTTAAGAAAGTATTAAATGCTCTGGGGGTGTATTTATAAACATTGGATTTAATTAAAATATCCAATTTATCTTCATATCAATATTTTCAGATTACTTCCTATATACATACTCTGCTTCATGTTCCATATTATTACTAGCAGTAATATTTGAAAACGAAAAAAAATGAGGATCGTCTTAATTAAATTTTAAATCAATATTTTTTACAGAAAAACCAATTAAATGTATGATTAGATTTTGAGTACCGACGATTCTTTCATCATATTTCTCATACATTGCATTTCCTTATACATTCCTAGCCTATGTGAAAAATTAAATTAATTTATTATAGGCAACAAATTAAATTGATACATTATAGATTAAAAATTAAACTAATTCATAATTGTCTACAAATTAAACTGATCCAATATGAGTAACGACTAGAACTAATTTATTATAGGTAACGACTTTGATTTTATTTTATAACCGTCGTTGAACAGCTGACCCAATTTTCTGAGTTTACGACTCTAATGTTCAACATCATAGCTTTGTAATTTTGAACCCAATACAGAGGACAAGGGAACTCCTGGGTCAAGTATTAGAAGAAATTAGCCTTTGTGGAGGACTTCATGATAGAACTAACCACTAAAACCACTAAAGTCTCCTACAGTTAGCTCGACGGCAAAGGAACTCTAACCCACGATCCGTCTACCACTGAGGATAGTTTACGTCAGCTATGTGGTCGGTGCAAGCCGTATGCGGAATTCGTATCGATCAGCCAGTGCTGAGATTCGAACCCGGTTCACCTCATTGGAAGGCGAAAGCTCTATCCCCTGAGCCATCACGGTTCATTGGTAACGAATTGAATTAATTCATGAAAGGTAACAAAATAAACTGAAGAAACTTATTGTAGCTACAAATGTAATAATTTTTTTTCATATTACAGAATGGTATTACGCATTCAAGAAACTCGCTCCTCATGAGAATAGGATTCTTGGACCATTTGACTTCGGTTCCATCATGATGTATGGCAGCAACGCATTCGCCAAGAAACAGGGTCAATACAGTTTTACAGACAAGAAGGGCGGATACGTAAATGATAAAAGGGACACAATGTCTTGGGGTGATGTCAACAAGATTAAAAAGCTGTATAACTGCTAAAAATAATTATTAAATTGCATATAATATAATAAACAGATTTTAATTTTATATTGGATGGTTGTATACATGTTTCATGTTTTGCACTGAACGAGGTGTTTGCTTGAATGAGTACAGAAAGGCCAATTAGTTTTGAAAAAGAAATTTTTTCTTTTTTAATTTGAATGTTTTAATAAAGGAATCAAAATTGATGGACAAAAAAAACTGATTTTAACATATCGTCTTTGAGATTTTTTTTCCAGATACAGCTTGAAATGCGTGTTCAAGAAAATGGACACAGATCAAATTTCGCACTTAAGAAAAGGGATACAGCTTGAAATGCATGTTCAAAAAATGGACACTCTCGAAATATATGATAAGAAAATGGACACAGCTAAAAATGTATGTTCAAAGGAGGGACACACTCGAAATATATGATAAGAAAATGGACACTACTCAGAATGCATGTTCAAAAAATGAACACACTCGAAATACATGATATGAAAATGAACTTAGCTCAAAATGTGCGTTTAAGAAAATGGATGTAGCTCAAAATGCGTCTTTAAGAAAATGGACACAGCTATTTAAAAAATGGTCTTGCATTTGATTCCGTTTTTCATACTTCCCTCATGAAAATTGCGTGTATGTAATGTTTTTTAAGGAATAAAACTAATGAATCAGAATATGATTTTTCCACTGGCGAAATCACTTAGTACAAACAGTAAACGCAACAAATTTTCGAGCAAATTACAGATGCAGCTCAAATGGACTATTTTATTGAAAAAATAAACATAGAACACGATAGAAATAGGTTAGAAATAAAAGGAATTGGTAAGACACATGAAAATAGCGCGAAATAGTGATTAAGGGAACTATCTGTTATGAGAAAAAAAAACTTAAAGCAAAGAGTAAATAAATTCAGTTTCAAATTAGTCCAAGTATAGGAGAAGAAATATAAGACATAAGACAGAAAGAAAATTACACGAAGCAAATTACGAAAACCAAGAAAGAAAAGTTAAATAATAATCTAGAGAAAATTACCACACAATAATGCTCTCGCATAGCTAAGGGCAAGAATTATAACAAACAAAGCATCCAGCAGATCTTAACTCTAAAAATAACAGAATTAGAAACAATATAGACTATATTACAACATAATTTTTTACATATTTAATATTTTGTTCCTGAGGCAACAAACCAGAATTTAGATGAAAAATGAGATTACTGGTGTGATAAACAGAATTAAAAACAATAAAACTTCGGGTTTAGACAGATTACTACCAGAGATCATTTTGTAAATTTTTAAACTTGAACCAACATGGTTTACGTACATCATAAGCAATTGTCTAGTTCTTATTACTTCCCATTACCTTGGAAAATAGCCATAAAAGTTTTCATCCAAAAACTCGGAAGGAACCTGAAAAATTCTGAAATCTATGGACAAATCTCCCTGCTCCCGGCGGAGGGAAGGTCCCGGATAAACTAATCTCAAATAGATTGATATACTACTTAGAAGACGAGCATGACGACCAACATGAATTTAGAAAAAATAGATCAATCTCAGTAGCAATGAAAACACTTATAAATAGTATAAAAACTTCTGAACAAAAAGGAAAATATACTTTTGGAAATCCATTAAACATCAAAGGAGCATTCGATTCTGCCAGCTGGAAAAATACTGTTGAACAGCTGAAGTAATCGAACTTCTCGCGCATGATCACCAATTTAATTAAAAACTTCTTAAATAACAGATACATTATTTTCTCATAGAGGAAGAAACCATAAAAGAAAAACTTTCAATAACAGTACCGCAGGGATCGAGCCTTGCACCGATACCGTGGTTACTAATATTTCCAATATTCGGCTAAAGAAAGCAAGATCACCAAACAGATCTATAATTTCATTTGCAGATACCTTGTTTTTACAATAATTGACCTCATGGGTCCATCTGTAGCAGAATTACTCAAAACTGTTCAAGAATGGGGGGAGAAATAAAATTTGAAATATAGTACAACTGAAACCTTTGCTACAATATTTCCTATGAAAAAGCCTATTGCAGGAAAACCAACAGTTAAACTGGATAAGAAAAGGATAAATATTTTACAAATCATTGACTATCTTGTATTTAAACTTAACTGTCAGCACTCCTGGTTGCCCTATTTGGATAAACTTTATATCTAAGTTATTAAATTCCCAACTAAAAAAAATAAAATTACTGATATAAGCTGGGGGATTAGCTCTAACATCAGAAGATTCATAAATTACAAAAGCACCTTAAGATTAATTCTCCACGGATCAGAAATTAATAGTATAAAATATGAGGAGCTGGCCAAATTCATGAATTTTTAATTTTTTCATAACAGAAATGTAAATATTATTGATGTGTATCGATGCTGTATGATGTACTAAATTTATGAATGAAATGTTGTATGTATGGATGTATGTGAAGTACTTTGTACAACTAAATAAGATTCTTTTCACAACACTTAAATATTTACTTTATTTTCTATAAATATAGAGATAAAAGTCGGCAAAGAATTCTGTTAGGTTAAAAAACATTTCGTTAAAAAAGAACGAATTCTAAAAGAAGTATTGAGTATTGAGTATAGTTAAGTGCGGCGAGCTCTCTGCTTATCGCTTATAGCTCTGCGTTTTTCTAAAAGAAATAAAAATAAACAACTTAAAGAATAAAAAATGCTGTTGCCAGCCATAGAATTTTATTGAAAGTTAACTTAGAAATGACAAATCAAGCGATGTTAACACAATGACGTAGAAAGCGCAACTAGATCAAAATTATACAAGCGCAACTAGATCAAAATTATGATACCTGAGTGCTAGATGTAACAGTATGTATGAAATGTTATTGTTTATTTATACCTCGACCCGCTCTATTCAGGGCACACGCGAGAAAGTGTATGAAATGTTATGGTTGGTTGGTGTCGTATCCTCTATAGAATCATATTTCATGGTGTGCTTGAATAGTTTTTGTTATTTCTATGGCATTAAAAGAATACAAATCCTCTTCTGTGGGGTAGTTTAAGAGGTGAAGGCCTGCAGCGACTGCAGGGCAGTTAAAAACATGATATGGTGTCAGTTCCACATTAAGACAGTTGCCACAGTTTTGAAATTTTCTAGTCTTATCTGCAGAAATTTTCATGTTTTTATGATGTTTTGTTCTTAGTCTGATGAGAGTAGTGGCTGTCTTCCTATCGATGTCAAGATTAGTTATTTGATCGTGGGCTTTGATTTTTAAAGGGGTGAATAGTCTTGACTTTGCATAAGCATTTGCATCTGCCAACGTGGTTGGGATTGAATTTTGATTTAGATCTCTGGCATTTTTAGCAATGAAATGTTATACTAAATTTATTTGAAACGCATTAATTTTACTGGTAAATGCGGACTTAATAAAAAATACTAACCTTTTGCCTACGGTGCCTGAAAGTACTTGTTATTCTGGACCATCAGTTGCACAGCCGTTAGCCGAAAGGTTAATACAACTAAGAAAATAATTGATGTAAAAATCGCGTCTTTAATGCCGTAATAACAAACTATAAAAAGAAAACTTCAATATGGACTTCCATCACTCTAGTAGTTTATTTAGTATTATAAATAATTTGAAATCAGTTGAGTATATAATTTTTAATAAATATTATTATAGATGCCAGATTTCAATGATAATTCAGATGCCTAAATCAAGTTTTAAATAAACAACTTTTTTAATATTCTATTCCTCGGGAACTATACAACCGATTTTGTACAAATTTTATATTTCGCCATGGAAAATTAAATATTTTAAAATGATGTAAGAAATCGTGTACCTTACAATTCAAACTTTTTTCGACTGTTGTTAAATAAAATAATAAAAATGGTAAATATTTACTAAAATTTATTTCTTTGCCTGGATTCATCTTTGCATAAATGAATTTTATAATTTTGAGTAAAGATTTTTCAATTCGTGTCGAAATACGCAATAAACAAAATTAACATTAGGGTGTCCAAACTTTGGATCGCTCTCTTGACCAAACTATGGGAACCAATTTCCCGGATTGATGCACCTCTATTATTTTGGGTGTCAAAAAAACTAAATAAATCACAAAAAGTTATGCTAATTCAGAGAAAATACGTTTTTTTGTCTGGCATCGTAACTTGAAATATCTTCTACACAAATTAGTTATCATTTTTGACAACATCCCCCTTTATACATTAAGAGGGAATCCTAGATGGAAAAGATCCGATAAAAGCAATTCAGGGTGGTCGGTTCATTTTTTTACGCATTTTTCATTATTTTGGTTGGCAATTACTTGAAGATTTAATTTCATACTCTTTGTTGCTATGATTCATTGCCCAATAAAAATTCCATTTGATCATTTGAATCAAAGGAAAAGTTCTTATCTGAGAGAAGTGTCTTTACATTTTAAGAGGAAAATTTTGTGCTAATGCTTTTTCATTTTTGTGACATTACTAATTTACAAGATTTTTTAAGAAAACTTACTTTCAATGCAGAATTTACCAGTCCAAAATAAAATAAATTTCACTTGTATTTCATTAGATGGAACTGAATTTCATCAAATCTCGAAAGTCTAGACTATCTAAAAGGTCACATCTGACGGAACCCCTGTTACTCTTCCATGGAACCCTAAGGTTATACGGAACACCTTTTGGGAACCACTATATTAGAATATCTTAGTGGAGTCACTGTATCAGGGTCGATGGAAGGCAACAATACTGATTGACTACTGCTGAATACTTCAGCGCAAAAACTCAGCACAAACGCAGGCCCACAGCCCAAAGAATTCACACCAAGCCCACTAAATTGTGTCAGTGTCTTAAGAGTGTATGAATTAATTGTGTGTATTATCTTTCTATGTAGTATAAATATCATGGACTTAATTTCATTTCCTATTTTCTCAATTCATCTCTGCTTTTAAGTAGAAGTTAATTTTTCTAATGGAATATGAGTGGTTTGAAAAGTATATATATATATATATGTATATTTGATGAAATATGATGAATATATATNTATATATATATATATATATATATATATATTAAAAAGTGTTGAATTTAAAGAT